TATGACCTCGTTGTGCATCTTTCTAGTGAAATTCTAGGCTCTTAGAGAGATGCATTCCATCTGGATTGAATTAGGAGGGTCTTAAAAATGATAGAGTAAAAGGAATTGTGCTAGATACTTCATCTACTGTTCCCCCTTTTCCCATTTTCCTTACAGTATTATTGCTTAGTAGTTTGACTTGCCTTATTCTTACCTTTATAATCAACACCATATATTTCAATATTACTCATTCTTCTAATCTAAATTATAATATATACACATGTGAATTGCCTGGGTGAAATTCCTTTGTACAATTAATATATGCTGTAATAATAATTTTGTTCTTAATAATAATGAATCATAGGAAAGTAAAACAAACTCTGTTGAGGGGCAGGTATCAGTGGGAGGAAGAGGGCCAATAGAAAGAGTGAATGAGAGTGAATATAGCCAAAGTACATTATATGCATGTATGAAAATAGAACAATGAAATCTGTTGAAACCAATTTAAGAAGGGATGAGGGGAAATAAGGGAAAGAGATGGAGGAATGAGTTTGATCGTTTCCATATAGACATTGTATGTATGTATGTGTAACAATGAACTCCTTCCATGTACACCCACTATATACTAATAAAATCTCTTTAAAAATCAAATTCTTGGGCTGGGAATGTGGCTTCATGGTACAGTGATTGCCTAACATGAATGAAGCCCTGGGTTCAATTCCTCAGTACCACATAAACAGAAAAAGCTGGAAGTGGTGCTGTGGCTCAAATGGTAGAGTTTTATCCTTGAGCAAAAGAAGTTCAGGGATAGTGTCCAGGCCCTGAGTTCAAGCCCCAGGACTGGCAAGAATAAATAAATCAAATTCTGCAGAATTGATAAAGATGGAAGGGAAACGAAGAGGATGGAAGGGAAGGGGAAGGGAAGGGAGAGAGGGAGGAAAGAAGGGAGGAAAGGAGGATGGGTAGGAAAGGAAGGAAGAAAGGAAGGAAGGAATGAAGGAAGGAAGGAAGGGAGGGAGGGAGGGAGGAAGGAAGGGAGGGAGGGAGGGAGGGAGGGAGGGAGGGAGGGAGGGAGGGAGGGAGGAAGGAAGGAAGGAACTAGGTACTACTAGTGGCTCACACCTACAATCCTAGCCACTTGGGAGGCTGAGATTGGAAGCCTGGACAGACAAGCTCAAAACCAAGGCATGGTGGTACATACTTGTCAGCTCAGCTATGATGGAGAAGCTACTATAGGCACACTGTGCCCAAGTACACATCTGGTCAGGAAGTAAGACCCTATTTCAAAAATAACCAGCAAAAGAACAAGACTGGAAGCATGGCCCAGAGGGAAGAGTGTCTGTCTAGCAAGCTCAAGGTCTTGAATTCAAATCCTAGTATGCTAAAAAATAAAATAAATTGTGCTACAGTTAGGAGTAAATAGTATAAGAGATAGTAACTATCGTAAGCAACATGATGAAACAGAATAAAATAGTAACTGCTGCAGATCACTGAGTTTGTGGCCAAAGAGAGAGTAACAAAGCTGGTGTGTGTACAAATCTCTCATCAATCTGGGACACTGTTTGGGGAAGAGCCTGAGATTCTGCATTTCTAAGGAGCCTCCAGGTAAGGTTGAGAGAGCTGGCCCACAGACACAACAGTGAGCCAGAAGGATATAAAAACTGTTATATAAACATAAGGGAAGTTCAGAAACTGGATTCCTGTCTTCTTTCTTATTTTTCAAAAATTGGCATAGCATTTCCATACTTCTTTTTTTTTTCTAGTATTGGGGTTTGAACTCAGGACCTTGTGTTAGGAAAACATTCTATTACTCTACTAGCACTTTTGATTTAACCTTTTTTGTTGTTGTTGTTTGCTTTGTGAGTGTATGTTTGCCAGTCCTGGGGCACTACCCTTGAGCTTCTTTCTTTCTTTTGCTCAAGGCTAGCACTCTACCTCTTGAGCCACAGAGACACTTCTGCCTTTTACTGTTTATGTAGTACTGAGAATTAACCCAGGGCTTCATGCATGCAAGGCAAGCACTCTACCACTAAGCCACATTCCCAGCCCATCAGGTTTGGTTTTGTTTTGTTTTAATTAGGATAGAGTCTCCTACATTTTTGCCCATGGGCCTAAAACTGTAATCCTCCTACCTATGCTTTCCATGTAGCTGGGATTATAGACATAGCCTCAAACTCTGACCTTTCTGAGTAACCGAGTAACTGGGATTACAGGCATGTAGCACCACACCCAACTTGTCATATTTCTCTTAAAAATCTTTGTGGAAAGCCTGCATTTAAGGAGTTTAGCAGTTCAATAAGGAGTAAAAGGTCAAAATTCAAGCTTTGTGAAAAGGGGTCTCTTGCTCCCTTGGAAGAGCTATTGCAGGTTATTGGATAGCTCTTCTGGAATTAGTGTGGCCCCAGTGAATGGCATAGCTCACCTGGGGACCGTCTGTTCATCTGAGAGTAGAGAGGTTGCTCCAGACCTCTACTGGGCTTCCTTGAATTTCTAAGGTGACAGCACCTTTAGGCTGGCCGTACCTGGGGGTTTCATGCTATGACACTCTTGGCATAGATAAGAAGAAAAGGGTCACTCTCAGGGCCATGTGTGTTAGTACTGGCCAGCAGCAGAGATGAGCTCACAGAACACTAGGGCCAGGGCTAGACCCAGAAGGGAATTAGAAAATGGGGATGTTAGTGTGGGTCTTTAGGGAAATGCCTGCCCATATCACCTGGTAGTTGAGAGACAGGGATTCATAGCTAACTCATAGGCTAGAAAACCTAAAATAAGAAAATGTATCCCTCCCAAAGCTGGCAGTTGAGACCAAATAATACACTGTACTTTAAAAAAATTCCAAGCTGGGTGTGATGATGCATGCTGTAATCCCAGCAATTTGGGAGGCGGAGGCAGGGAGATCACAGGTTGGAGGCCAGCCTAGACAACATAGTGAGGACTCTCTTCTCAACCTCACCTTCACCCCTGGTATTGCCTTCCTGGCATGTAACTGGCATCCTGAATGGGGTACTGACTTTGGGCAGAACACTTCGGCTCTCCCAGGAGCACCTTAGAATTTGGGGAAGGATGGACAAAGGAAGGGGACCAACATCATGAAAGGGCTGCTGTTAGTGTCCATTAAAGAAAAGACTAAATGTACTTTATATAATTTCTTGCATGAAAATAATAACAGAATTGATACGTCTTCCAGGAGAAGATGTTACTGGCTTGTACCTTACATGGAGTTTCTATGAATATGACCGTGCACTGTATCTGATAACTCAGCCCATGAGTACAAGGTGACATTTTTCTAAATCTTGCATTCAAAATGTAGGTTGAGTCTTCACCAGTGGGTAGTGTTTGGTAAAAATGCATTTCTTCAATTTTATTCCAGCTCAAATCAGCTCAAGTGTCAGGTAAACTGCTAAGATATGCAGTGGGTTACTATGGTGATTGCTAATTTACAATAATTAGTGAAAATAATGAGAAAACCATTTCCTCTCTTAAGGATTATAGATCTGTAAACTGATACGAGTCTATTGTTAGTGTCCATAATCCATAATAATGATGGAGAATTATGAGTACTTTGGAATGGATGACAAAGGCCTGTTTGGGGAATTTAATCAACTCAGTACTTACAACAAAATTTATATTTATTAAATTGAAGTCCATTCCACAAAAAGAATATTGCATGCATATATCTTAATGTGCTCATTGTTGACCAAAATGTTATTATGATGTATGCAGCCAAATTATGATTTAAAACCTGTTTATGACTATTTCTTAACTCCTGTAATTTTGCTTGTCCATCCTACTAACTCGTCATTCAAGAGTAGCTGCATAAAGACCTGTTATTCAGAAGTCTGGAATGAAGGGAGCCATCAGCGCGAGGAAGCACTCTCATGCAGTGTGACAGATCCAGCAAAATAAACATCCACGGTACTTCTCATTATGTCATTCTTGCAGTGAGTTATTACTGCAAACTAACCACACTATTTAAGCATGTGAACTCTGTTGCTAACTTCAATAACGACATGCAATTTATTTCTGGTTAACTAAGGCTGTGTTCTGATTGAACAAACTGGCTAGAAAATGAAAAAAAAAAAAATCAGTTCTCTTCCTTAGTTTCTAGTTAATGTTATGTCAGATGAGGAGGGTCACTTTTTGGAGTTAACTTGTCTCTAAACCAGGTCTAAGCACTCAGAGGTTGTTTCCTCTAGACTTTTCTCTCTCCTACTCCTCTCTAAGAGCTCCCAGGACTGATAACTCAGCTTCAGTGGGCTGCATTTCCCCATCTCCCACTTGCCTATAAGAGCCTGTACTTTTTAACAGTAACCAACGTTTCTCGTGTGGTCCTGAACAATGGATGTGACAAAAAAAAAAAAAAAAACAATATGACTGAGTTGTGTAGAATAGGACCAGCAAACTTTTGCTGGAAAGGATCAGATGGTGCCTGTCAGAGTCATTTTGGGTCATGTGGCCTGTTACTGCCGCTCAAATCTGCCACTGTAGCATGAAAACAGCCACAGATTGTAAAAGTGAATGTGGCTGTGTTCCAATAGGGCTTTCCTTATTCACAAGAGAAGGTGACAAGCCAAATTTGATGTGGGGGCTCTACAGTTTGCTTTCCCCGATTGACACTACCATTCTGATTCATTAATCTACATAGTCAGAGTATATGGGCAGGGGGTGGCAAAAGAACTCGGACTTTTCTCTCAAGGGCCTCTCTCGAAGTATAACAAGAGAAGTTTTATTATTATTTTTTATTTTTTTTTTATTTTTTTTATTTATTTTTTTTTTGGGTCCGGTAGTGGGGCCTGAACTCTGGGCCTGGGCGCTGTCCCTCAGCTCTTCAGCTCAAGGCTAGCACGCTACCACTTGAGCCATAGCGCCACTTCCGGCTTTTTTCTTTTTGCTTATGTGGTGCTGAGGAATCGAACCCAGGGCCTTGAGCATGCAAGGCAAGCGCTCTACCACTGAGCCACCTTCCCAGCCCCTTATTATTATTTTTTAAAAGAACAAATCTTTGAAGTAAAACAACTCACCAAAATACCAATGTCTCTAGAAAGGAGATTCCAACACTGGAGGCACCAACCACAACAATCCTGGCGTTGACAGTTATTTTAGGTTCCAATGTTAATTTTCTGTTGGTATGGTACAAGGCATAAGGCAACTGGAAGAACAATTCAAAGGGAAGAGAGGTGAGGAAAGTGTAGCTGTGTCAGCACCCCCAGGCTGATTATGAGGAATTATTTCATATAACTTTATTATTAGGTTTGCTAATCAAACCTAATAATACTCATGAAATAGACATAGTGAAGTACATGGTATCTCTTAGAAATCACTGTAAGGTCTGGTGAGTGGTAGAGCATTTACCTAGCATGGGATGGCCTTGGGTTCCATCATTACACACACACACACACACACACACACACACAATCAAGGTAAGACTATAACAATATATCTGACATCAAGGCTAAGTAACAAACAATGGTTAATTTGGATGTTTTTGTCTTACTGCTGAGAGATTTTTCACATAAACCTAGAAGAACTTGGCAAGGTAAATAATCCTACAAGACTATAGCCAAGCAACTCCTTGGGAATTATAGTTTCATGAAAGGTCCTAAGTCTTTCCTAGAATGTCCCAAGTTTCTTAAATTTATGAGTGAAAAGCTGCATTATGTTGGTTGATTACTTGAAGACAAATATTCTTTCTTATTCACTTCTGTATGCCTCACGCTACTTATTAGCACCAGTGGACAGCAGGTGATTAATAGTATTAGTTGAATGATAAAACATTTCCTGAATGATAGAAATGTGTTGACTATAAGGGTCATTCAATCTTATCATTCAACAAGGAGGACTCAGATGCACAGACAGTAATTGAGAACCTTTACTGTCTGTGTTTGCCAAAAGGAATGAGTTAGTTGCTCATTTGGTTTACATTGCTTCAGAGGCTGCTGTGGGAGCATTCACCAACAAAGTTTACAAGGAGGTGTGTGGTGGTTGAGTGAGAGTATCATTAAAAGATCTTGGTTCTATTTTTTAATTCATTTATTCAATACATTGTATTTGGTGTCTGACAATAACAAAATTAAAGCACTAGACAGTAATTCATCAGAAACAAAGGAGGCCTAAATCAGTGGAACACCCATTACCTTTCCATCAGCATTAACATGACCATTCACTCTCTAGATCAGAAGTCTCCACATTCTACTAGGTTTAATCTACTTTTTCTTTTTTTTAATTTTATTGTAGGAGTGATGTCAGAAGGGTCACAGTTACATAAGTAAGGTAATGAGTATATTTCTTGTTGAACATTGTTACCCCCTCCCTCATTTTCTTTTCTTCCCCCCAACTCCCCTCCCCCCCAAGTTGTACAGTTCATTTCCAACATAGTGTCTTGTGAGTACTGCTGTTGTATTTGTTCACCCTTTGTTCTTTGTCTCACCATTTTGCTGTTCCCCTTCCCTTCCCCAAATCAGATAAACATATATACAAGACACATAATACCAAAATCAAAAACAGTGACAACAGGGGGTAAGCCAAAGGAAAAAAATGAAAGAATAAAAACATAACTTTACATAGTCCATTAAAAAAACAAAAAGATACAACAAAATAACCCTCGTTTCCATATCTTAGAGTTCGTTTCATTAGTATCACTTTATATGGTCATATGTAAAGAGCTATTGAGCTAGTGTGATCCTCTGCTAGGACTATCCTAGACATATACTAATTATTATAAATGAGGGAAACCATGGAGCCCATGTTTCTTTGGGTCTGGCTTACTTCACTTAATATGATTTTTTTCCAAGTCTTTCCATTTCCTTACTTTTCATTTCAAACACCTGAGATTCTAGGAGTCCAAAGGATAATGGTAGTCTTATTTATTTTATATTATTTTAAATTTTATTTTATTGTAAAGATGCTGTACAGAGGGGTTACCTTTACACGAGTAAGGTACATTTCTCATGAACATTGTTACCCGCTGCATTGTTGTTTTCCCACTATTTAAACTAGGTTTCCATTCACTTTCCAGTGCTTAGGTGGCATGGATGTGGCCTAATGCCTTGCTATTCACTAGATTATATCTAACATAGAGAACTCTAGATAGCCTAGCAAATAGAGGTGGGAAAAAAATGCCTTGGGAGATTTTAGACTGCCCCATAACTAACATTACCTCAAAGCATCTATTTTACTCCCCATTCCCACCTTTAATTTTGTATATCATGGATTCTGGAAGAATGGGTTCACTCCTGTCTTCAAGAGGGGACTTTGATTGACAGAGCCGAGTCATATAATCTAACCCTCCTTGCTCAAAGATTGTCAGGATGGACATGTGACTTATGATGGCTTAATCAAAGTGAAGTCTAGAACTTGCCTTGTTGTCTGGATGACATGAGGTATTGAGGCAAAGCCTGAAATGACGACAGTTATCCTGGCACCAAGAAGAAAACTGACTTCGAATTGAAGCCCCAAGATAATTATAAAGAAAGAGGATAGGAATTCCTTTCAAAGTTTACCTTTGAACTGGTTCAGTTATATAGGCAATACACATCAGTCAGACATTGTCACTATAGTGCTGCTTAACAAACAAATCTAAAATACACTGACTTAACACAATTGTCCTTATTCTTTTCATTGTTGTTTTGGACCTGAATTCAGGTCCATTCATTGTTGTTTTGGACTTGAATTCAGAGCCTGGCTTTACTGCTTGAGGCTTGTATTCTACCACTCAAGCCTTAGCTCTACTTCCAGTTTTTTGGTGGTTTAATTGCAGATAAAAGTCTCACAGAAAACAGGAATTCCTGAATGCTATTATGGGAATGGCCACATCCTGATGAAGCCATTTACCATATTCATTTTACTTTCTAACAATAATTAAGTTATTGTAAAAAATAAAAGTCTCACAGACTTTCCTGGTGGGGCTGCCTTCAAACCCCAATCTTCAGATCTCAGCCTCCTGAGTAGTTAGGATTACAGGTGTGCAGCTTACTCTTGCTTGTGAACCTAGGTCAGCTGGAAGTCACCTGATACTGGCTGCATATAGGCGCACTACCCTGTGTCATTTCTTGTTCTTTTTTTTTCTTTTTTTTCTTTTTTTGGGTCCAGTCGTGGGGCCTGAACTCTGGGCCTGGGAGCTGTCCCTCAGCTCTTCAGCTCAAGGCTAGCGCTCTACCACTTGAGCCACAGCACCACTTCCGGCTTTTTTCCTTTTGCTTATGTGGCGCTGAGAAATAGAACCCAGGGCCTCATGCATGCAAAGCAAGCGCTCTACCACTGAGCCACCTTCCCAGCCCCTCATTTCTTGTTCTTAATGAGAAAGAACCAAGGAAAGTTCTTCTCAAGGCAATGGTAGAGGTGAATAAAGGGTAGATGAAATATGGCTTCTTACAGGTAGCCATAGCAAATCAAAGGGAAGAGCTCAATATCTATGCAGTGGGGAAATAAAGTTAGGCAGCAAAGGACAAAGCCTTGGGAAGGATGAGAATGAGAAGAATAATGAGTTTTGTTGTATTTCCTAGGTAGTTTAGGCTAGTTTTTTTTTAAATATGCAACTGAAAACTTCCTAGATTAATAAATTTTATAAATGAAAATAATGAATGAGTGCACATCCTCCAAACAAATGTCAGTTCTCACAGTCTGTCCAAAAAATCTCCAGGACAGATTAATAAAGGACTGTGCAAAATATCTAGTTCACATTGGTCTATGTGTACTGTGCTCTGCTTAGTTTCAAAGACAAATTCACCTTAGCCAGTCTTGACTTTTGGTTCAGAATATATGTTGTTATGATAGCATCTAATTGCAAGTCTAATTAGCAAATTTTAAATGCATGCATCTTAATGGAGGTCAGAAAGCAAGCTTCCTTCCACAAGCAAGGTACGCTCAGACATTCCTCTCTTCTGTTGGAAATGTAAGCTGGTATTGAAACATGGCAGTAATGAAATTCCCTGGTAAAGAATTATACCTCGTTTATGAAACAGCTCCAGTATCAAGGATACAAAGGCAGCTGGGGAACAGAACAGAATGGCTTTTGTTTCCCACACAATAGCTTTAATACCAACAGCTGCCAGGCCGCAGAAATCACCTTTCTAACGGCTAAAAACATAAAGTGGCCCCAGGGTGTCAAGAGTTAGCGATCAGTATGGATGATGGTGGGTGTGTCAGGAGTGTGAGCTGGCATCCCAATGATGCACAGTAAAACCCAATTTTGTGCTCAGGTTTTAAAAAACATATCCATTATTAGGCATGATGAAATCTTCTGACCTGAAAAAAGAATCACCTTAAAAATTAGTAAGTATGCCGGGCGCTGGTGGCTCACGCCTGTAATCCTAGCTACTCAGGAGGCTGAGATCTGAGGATCGCGGTTCAAAGCCAGCCTGGGCAAGAAAGACCGTGAGACTCCTATCTCCAATAAACCACCAGAAAACCGGAAGTGGCGCTGTAGCTCAAGTGGTAGAGCGCTCGCCTTGAGCTGAAGAGCTGAGGGACAGTGCCCAGTCCCAGAGTTCAAGCCCCACGACCGACAAAAAAAAAAAAAATTAGTAAGTATGGTTTTTAAATTCCTCAAAAAAAACCACCCACAAAAACCCAAAAAGCATCCCCCAAAATTACCCAGCCTAGAAACCTTTTAAGATTGCTTATATTGCTTTATAGGGGGTTTATTTTAACCTTGAGCAAGAAACACAGATTTTTATTTTTAATGAATGAAGAGTATTTCCCTTCCTTGGTGTTTCTTTGGATTTCAGGGTTTCATGGAAAAGAAAAGCAGGACCAGAAGACCCTCTAATCATACTGAGCTGTCCTTTTTTTTTTTTTTTTTGCTGAACATCTAACAAAAAATGTGCCTGCAAAAGAGATCCAGCGGGCTGGGAAGATGGCTCACTGGTAGGGCCCTTGCCTTGCATGCCTGAGGCCCTGGGTTCGATTCCTCGGGACCACATAAGCAAAAAGAAAAAAGCCGGAAGTGGCGCTGTGGCTCAAGTGGTAGAGCGCTAGCCTTGAGCTGAAGAGCTGAGGGACAGCGCCCAGGCCCAGAGTTCAGGCCCCACAACTGGACCAAAAAAAAAAAAAGGGATCCATTTTGGGGGCTGATTTCCTTTATTTTATAAAAATAAAAGCCCTATCTGTTGATAGGCAGACGTGAGGGAAGTGTAAGCTGTTTACCAGCCA